TTATATAGGAAGTCTTCTTGTAATGTATTTTAATGTATTTATTCTATTTTAATTAACATTTCTTCCTTTTACTGTAAACCTCCCAGAGTTGCTTTGCAGTGAGAGATGCGGCGACAACTTTGAAAAATAGATAGATAGATAGATAGATAGATAGATAGATAGATAGATAGATAGATAGATAGATAGATAGATAAAATGCCTGACTGGCACATTCTGAAGTAAATACGTCAGATTGGTTCCTTGTAAACACAAATTTAGTGTTCTTTGAAGAAGCAGGATAGAAAGAGTATTGACACTTTTAAACTTTGGTGATGGAGAAGACTCTCAAGAATACCATGATTCCTCCCTCCCCCATCAAACAAATCAATGCAAAGTTCTCACTTGAGACATAAATGACCAGGCAAAAATTATTATTATATTTTGGACACATTATGCAAAGACCAAACTCTTTTGAGAAGTCTATAATGCTGGGAAAGATGGAAAGAAAGAGAAAAAGAGGACAACCAGCAGAAGATAGATGGACTCAGTTACAGTGGTGATGAGTGCACCATTGGAAGGTCTGAAGGACCAGGCTGGGGATAGATCATCCTGGAAAAAAATCTGTCTGTGTGGTTGCTAAGTGTCAACACTGACTTGATTTGATGACACAGCAGCAGAACCAATACTGTTTTTTTTTTTTTTTGAAAGAATGCTAGACCTATTCTTCAAACATGGGTTCAAGCACGTATCTGAAAGAGTGCCAAGTTGTGTTTAAAAACAGGACCAAGTCTTTCCTGAGAAAGTGCTAGTCCTGGATTGCACAGAAGGCAAAGGGGGGTTCTGCCTGATGTGTGCTGCTGATTCCATCACCACTGGATGTACTATGGGGTTCCCAGTTTTTGCCTACAAAGGATTTGGTGTGATCAAAGTTTCTTTTTACTGTTTTTATTGCTTCAATGGTGGGCATTGCCATTGTGCCTTTTCCATTCTGGCTCCTTGGCCATCCATGGGCTATTCCAAGTGATATTGTCCATGAGGAAAGAAGTGGACCTCCTGACTTTGGGGGGGGGGAGGGAGAGATGGAGCTAATTTATGACTTATCCCTCTGCTTGCTTCAGTTCCCTCCCCCTGTAGTTCTACCCTGTCAGCCAGATTATTTTTGGACCGGGGTCTAATGCTCTTTCAAAAAGCCACCTGTCAGACAACTTGACAGAAGACTGTAAATGCTATTTCCAGCACCTGCCAACATTTGCCTACTCCTGCCCCATCTCACACTAGGAAGAGTGATGGGTGCTTGCTTTTCCCATCAACAGCCGATGCTTGTGGAGAAGGGAAATGGAGCTGGAGACACCACCGGTCACTTTCTTTAATTTGTCCTGCATTAAAACAGTCAGCAGCCTAGTTTCTGTGGCAGAACAGGGCTTAGCACCTGGGGCAGCAAATTTTATGCCCAGTTACTTTTCTATTGGCCAAAGGATTGGGGGGTTGCACTTTCATGTGTCCGTTTGGCTGTGATGCAGGTGAAGGACAGGGGACTTTATGAAATGATCTACAAAACATTCAGGAGAAAAAAAATCCATATCTGTTTTTGGAAGGACGCTTAGGTGAAAACCCCACTGCCTACTTTATTCCAGACCAAAGGCATTTGCATTAGCTCTCTCTCAAAATGTGCTCACTTCCATGAATGACCCTCTGTCTGTATACACGTGGACACAACTTAACAGCCCCTTTGCCTGCTGTTTCTGTTGTAGATTTTGGCAGAATCTCTACTGCAGTTATAATTCAGTTGCCTAACAATATGCCACCTGCTCCCACAAGTGTAGAATTAAAATTAGTCAACAGATAAATATTCTTCTTGTTCTATTGGTGAAGTGCTCATTCTTGTCAATGAGGCCAGGTTAATGGAATATACCATTATAAAGTTAGAGGGAGACCTATAATGAGATGTTCAGACAAGGAGGAGTCCTTATTCATGGCTCCAGCTATTAATCTCACCTCATGAGATGTTCTCTGTTCTCATAATAATCTACATGCTGTGGCCTTGATTTGTGGGTGTGCGTGTGCTTTGCCGTAAGATCCTTCCCTCACCTTTATTTTTGTTTGTTGGCAAACTTCAAGTCTGTTGATACATCCGTCTGATTATGACTAATGACATTTCAGCAACAACACTCATATTCTGAAACACCGAATTAACAGAATGGAAGAAACTGTTCAGAGATGAGGTGACACAATGGCCCCATTCCCACAACACATCTAACTGGGTCAATGAGAGGGTAGTGTGGGGTGGGGGGTATGTTGTCTGCTGTGGGGACCCTAAAAGGAGTTAATTGATCCAGCCATTCAGAGGATTAAACTAAGTCCATCCAGTCAATCAAATTGTGGGAGTACCTGAACCCCGTCAATTGACTTACTTGGCATGCCAAGTCCTTCAAGAAATAAAGGTAGAGAAGCAAGGAAAAAAGCAAGAACTCATTGTGAAGACTTGGCAATACAGACTACACTCTGTATAGTCCTTTGCAGTGTTAAGCTAATTCCACCCAGATAATCATGTTGGGGGAACATCTAACCACAGACAGTGGACTAATTCGGCATACCGAATATTCCAAGAAACAAAGCTGGAGAAAGAACAGTCACAAAGGGAAGCTAATTTGTTTCCAAACCCATGGTCAAGACTGACTTTGTGAAATAAAGCTTCCCAACATTGATTGGCTGCAGTGATGAAGCCATACCTACTGCTGCCTACCTGACCAGTGGAGAAGAGGCTGGTGATGCCACGAAGACTTCCATGATCCAGGTGTGAGGGCTGATGAAATATGAGGAACATCGGAAGCAAGTGGGACTCTATCTTCCAAATGGTGACTTTTGACTCAGTTAACAGGACTGTATGTAACCAGACTCATCAGAAAGAGGTTTGACTGGATTAATGGCTGAGTGGGACGGGGTCACTTGCGTGCTCACAAACGCAATTCACAAGGACTGGATCTGGATGAAAGGGAATAAAACTTGGGCTGCCATACTGGGGGTGCAAAAAGCCCCTAGGAAAGGTGGAGTTCTGCTCTACTCTTTGAGAATTTCTCCATTTCCTAGAGCAATGCAGAATAAATAATCCCCCTAATTGATCTGCCCCCGAATTTAAAAGATCCAAGGGGTCTGACCCCTTCTTTTTTCACACAGGTTTTTGTGTGGTGTAGAATGTTCACCATATGTACAGGCTGCACAGTGTCATCAATAGCTAAAAAGAAAGAAAGAAAAAGAGCCCCCCCCCGCCCCCGCTACAACACCTTGTTTCCCTTCTCAATTTTCTCTTTCAAATGCCCTTCCAAGATTTAAACAGAGGCTCAAGATGGCAGAAATTAAATCACAGTCTTCAATCTGCGGCTCCATTTTTACAAAGCTGCTGACAGAAATCTAAACACTGTGCCAGCATCAATGTTCCCAATCAAATCTTTGCTCTAATCAATTCATTGTCAATTATGTCCTTCCCCAAAGCTATATTTAAACCTTAATGATCTCTTTATTTGTAGTTATTAAGGTACCACCAGGGACATTTGCTGTGCAAACACCTTGGGGTTCATTTTTATTTTGTATTTTCCTGGCCCCGGCGAAGCACACGCTCTGTGTCTCTTGCCCTTTTATTGTTTCTCTCATTACCATATTTTATCAGCCCTCAGCTCTGTAAAAGGCTCAATTGTTTTCCTTTTCT